AGAGAGACGCTCGAGATGTGTGTTGCCTTTTTCACATTTGGTGAGTGCTGCCGCGGGGGTGCAAAAGACTGCTGTACTGAATTTTTTTTTTTTTTTCACATACACACCAGCCCCATCTATATTGAGAATTTTTTTTTTTTTTTTTTTTTCAACCAGTCCGGTTGCTTATCACCGACAAGCATCGTTTCACACAGCGCAAGATTGTCTCAACCCCCCCTGCGGCCCTAGACATCCGTTGACGCCCCTGGTGTATATACATGGTCAGACTGTGCGAGGCCCCATTCTTTTTAATTTTTTTTAATTTTTAACTAAGCTCTAGTCTTCTCTCAATTTCACCTTTCACAATCTACCTACCACTACTCCTCTGCCTATATCTCACAATAAAGGGGGTGGATGTTGCCCCCCGCCCTAATCAGCGGTGGTCAGGGAGTAGGGTGGGGCCGCCAGAGGGGGGGAAGGGGGGGGGGAAAGGGGGCGGCTAACGCAAAGACCGATCATTTTGCCAGTAGATGCGCCTCCCATCTACTCTTTTTTGTCCCACCCCCCATCTAGTAGCAGCGGAGGCTATGGCCAACACTCTCCCCCACACCACACACAACCCCCACTCACACCCGTGCAATGGTCATAGACCCTATTAATATCGATCAGGGGTATCAAAAGGACTATCACAGCCGGTTGAAAGGGTCTTTCTTCTTCTTCTTTTTTTTTTTTTTTTTTTTTTTAAACAGGGCCTTATGGTCGGGGATCTTTATTAGATAGATTAATTTTATTTTCTCCGTAAAAAAAAAATACAGTGAAAGGAATTGAACATGCGACAGTGAGAGAGAGAGAAGCCGTCGAATTTTCTAACGCCAACCTCGCACTCTACCGTCTTCACCCGCATAGAACGCCTGGTCATTATGGCCGCATCTGGACTGAAAGTTGCGCCAAATTCGGTTATAATGACCGGGCGTTCGATTCCGGTGAAGGCGGTAGGCGGACTGTCGAGAGGTCTCGCCGCACGACACACGAGACGAAAAACGAAAAGAAGAGTGCATCTTCTCACGGAATATGGGTCGATTCATCCATTTACTATAAATAGTAACGAGTGTATGCTGCCACCTTCTGTGGGCAGATGCATTCGTTTTTTTTTTTTCCGTTTCTTGTGGTCTTTGGCACACCAACCTCGCACTCTAGGCGGTAGTCCTCCCCACCCCCTTCTCTGACAAGAAGGGCCAAAGTAAAAATGACGGAAAATAGAAGAAGGGCAAAAATAAAAGGTGTGGAATACGGTCTTTTACACACCCTTGAGAGCTCCATTCTCTCACCCGCCCAGCCACGATTAACCAATCATTGGCATGCCAATTAATGTCTTGTCATGTTGGTGAAACGGAATTCCAGTGTGAAAAATCCATGTCTGCTATACTGTTTCTTCGGACTCCTTACCTTCTCGTCAGACGCAACGGACGCAAACACGTACCCACAGACATGTGTGGTGCGTGTTTGCGTGTGTTGTGCATGGGTCGTGTGTGTGTGTGTGTGTGTGTGTGTGTGTGTGTGTGTGTGTGTATGTGTATGGGTGTGTGTAGGTGTGTAGGTGTGTTTCAAAAAACCCCAAACTCTCTCTCATATTCCATCCACAAATCATGTGTGTGTGTGTGTGTGTGTGTGTGTGTGTGTGTGTGTGTGTGTGTGTGTGTTTCGAAAACCCCAATCTCTCTCCCTCTGTCTCATTTCATCCACAAATCATGTGTGTGTGTGTGTGTGTGTGTGCGCGCGTGTGTGTTTCAAAGAACCCAATCTCTCTCGTTCTCTATCTCATTCCATCCACAAATCATGTGTGCGTGTGTGTGTGTTTCAAAAATCCCAATCTCTCTCTCTCTCTCTCTCTCAATCCATACACAAAGCGTGTGTGTGTGTGTGTGTGTGTGTGTGTGTGTGTGTGTGTGTGCGTGCGTGCGTGTGTTTCGAAACCCCCGATCTCTCTCTCTCTGTCTCATTCCATCCAGAAATCATGTGTGTGTGTGTGCTCTTGTGTTTCAAAAACACCAATCTCTCTCGCTCTCTATCTCATTCCATCTACAAATCATGTGTGTGTGTGTGTGTGTTTCAAGAAAACCCAAACTCTCTCTCTCTCTCTCTCTCTCTCTCTCTCTCTCTCTCCATCGACAAATCATCACAGACCACCCATAAAACAAAAATCGTGTAGATAAAGGCAATATAGTAGAAGATGCAAGGTTGGCCACGTTTGTGCGGCTAAGCGCCAAGTGCCTACACACCCGTCTCGGCGTTATTCGTTGCTTTTATTGTATACGTTTGTGAAAGTCATGTATTTTGAAACACCTAAAACATGGATTTTCTATAAACCATGATAACCTTGTGACGATACGTTTGCGCTCTGATATTTTGTGACAATATATATATAGATATATCTCCAGACTCCATAGTAAAAGGATGAAGGGCAAAGGCAACATACTCAACCAAGAAGGCTCCATCGACACGAAAGCACTGACCACATCCGCCGATTGTCTGAAAAAAGGCTTGGAGAGTGCTTTCGCCGACTCATCATGAGAGTGAACTCCAAGCCACAAGATTCATTGCGCAAGTACGTGTGTGTGCGCTGTCATGCTGGCCCACCAAAAAAGCATAGCTGTGCCAGACTAGACTGTCTCGTCTAACTTTCACCGACTCATCAGGAGATTGAACTCCGACGGTGCGCCCCAGGATGCTATTGACTGATGAAACCCGACAATCTGCCTGGGATGCATTTGGCTGATGGATGAGCACTCACCACGTCGCCCAGAGTTAGCCATACCCCTGAGAAAAACGGTCGACTTTATTCTTACCAACCTCTGTGTGTGTGTGTGTGTCTGTGTGTGTCTGTGTGTCTGTGTGTGTCTCTCTGTGTCTGTGTGTGTCTCTGTGTGTTTGTGTGTGTGTGATTGTTTGTGTGTGTGTGATTGTTTGTTTGTGTGTGTTTGTGTGTGCGTGTGTGTGTGTGTGTGTGTGTGTGTGTGTGTGTGTGTGTGTGTGTGT